AAAATTGTTGCAAGAAATTGATGAATATTCCAAACGTATAAACGAAGACGACTTTGATTTGCCTAGCAGTAGTAGTAGTGAAAAAAGTATTTCTCTCCGACTTAAGCGGGAAGAAGAGGATAGGAATACGCAAAAAATACTTGATGAGCTCTCGGATAGTTTGCAACATCTAGAAGAACCCTATGCCAATAAATTGGGCACAGATATGCACGGCCTAAATAAAATGAGCACAAATGAAAAAAGATATATAACATCACTAAGCGAAACCCAAGAGACGGATATAAACAAATTATTCCCTAAGTGTGGATCAAAAACAAAAAGCAAAAAGAGGTCAAAGGATGTTGATCCAATAATTAACAAATATAGAGAATTAAAGAAATCCATGAAAGTAACAAGCGATGAAGACATTTATCTTAACAACTGTGCCAATGTTCAATACCATGTTACTAAAATAGTAGCTGATGAGAAATTGCCTGAAGTAACCGATACCAAGAATCCAGACGAAGATAGCGCTATTTCGTCCAGCAACGGCAACCCGGAAATCACAATAGAGTCAGGAACATACGACACTAGTCAATCTTTAGAAACTGGCTACTCTTTGGAGTCGGAGATAAGTGTTGACTCACTGTGTACCAGTACCGATAAACGATCTTCTCTGAAAGTTGGCCAATCAACCGACTCAAGTGATTTAGACAAAATGGAAATAAGTCCCGAATCTGTAACATCCAGATCGAGTGCAAGTACTGCTCCTTTAAAATCTGGTTTCTCGGTTGAATCTAGCGACACTTCGGCCGGTAGCGATTGGAGTAGACGAGACAAAACTGGTAGTACGGCATCCTTGGGCTGCGCGAGTCTCAACTCTTTGCCTTCTTGCAGCGAATGTTCCAGGGAGAAGAAACTACTGGAAAAACGATCATCCTCTGAAGATACTGCGATGGTTCCTGCGGAAACTTGCAGGGCTGTCACTCATGCACCTCTTTTGCCATCACTTAGCGACGCATCTGACAGTTTACCTTCCGAAGGAGGTGCTGTCACTTTACATAGGTATTACCATGTTTTCAAGAAAGGTGAACTGGATCAGTTGATCGAGCAATACGTGGAGAGTCTACACGTCGTATCGTCGTACTACGATCAAGCGAGCTGGTGTGTTGTGGCGGAGAAAGTTCAAGTGTGGACGATCTAATGTGGTGTGGTTCCTCTTGAAGTGCGAATATTTTGTGACGTATACTTTCAGACTGTTCAGTGTCTACATACAAGTGACCTTCCTAACGTACTCTTCGTGTCTATTGACTTTACAGCGTTACCTGAGATGGTCGAACCTGTGCAAATGCCAAAAGCGAAGCTTTTGTTTTTTAACATATAATAGTCACTCTATACCAATTTAATAGTTGTTATATCTGTAACCATAATATTATTCGCCCCGGAACGTAGAACGACTACGTAATTACGGGCATTTAGTATTCCATGCGATAATAGAACTCGCATGAAATGAAAACTAAGAGCTTTAAATAGAGAAAATTTAATATTAATATTATATACTTCGGTGGCTCAAAATATTATAAGCTATTCATAGCTTATGTACTATATATTTACCTACGGAGTTATTGTAATTATACCATTCTCTCGAACCTACTTGTATTCTCAAAAACAGAAACTGTAAAATATCTAAATTTTTAAAATTCTATGACAATAACAAATATAGAAAGGGCATCACTAAATTCTTCTAGTTAATAAAATATTATATTTCAGATTTATAAATAAAATAAACACAAATTAAATGTATATAAATTAATAATTCGGTTTCACAAAACTACTTTTAGTTAAAACTTATATATATAAATGTATTTTTCAGTATTACGTTGAGCTGGCCTCTTTTGAATTACTTTATGAAGTATGGGTCCATACGATTGTTAAATTACCGCTTCTATTCATACTAAATTCGGACCATTTAATAAAATTAGAGATTTTAGTCATCGTAGTCTGCAGTCACTCTGCTTATATGTAATTTGTAATATAAATAAACAGTACAAATGCATATTATCCTTCAATACTCAATACAAGCAGAAAAAATTGCATACAATTAGAAAGAGACAGTTTCAGAGTCGTGGAACGTTGTCTCTCTCATACCTAATAACTGTGCGACAGAGATAGCGTTCTACAAATTCGGAAATGTCTTAACATCGGTGGGTTTCTGACGCCAGAATTTCTGTATAAAACATATCAGCATCCCTGACTTTCATCTTTGGCTAAATAGAGATGGCAATATGTTTTAAACGGGAATTTTGACCTCAGAAACCCAGGGTAAGTGATTATGCAATATTTTAACTGCGTATATGTATATTTAACAATTGTTCACAGATTACCTACGTTAGATGGCCTTCTTATTTATGTGTTGACATAGCGCAAAAATATATCAAATTAAATCAAAAGTATATGTAATGTTAGAATTTTATTTCACAGCTACACATAAATATAAATGTCAAATATATAGTTTTAAATTAAATATAAAACAAGAATTGTACAGATTTCATTTATTGTATTAATCCTTTAGTTTTAAAATAAGTAAATTATCCGATTTTCCCTTTTCATTTTTAGTTATTTTCTTTATTTCATTTAGACTTATTTGTCTTTTAGATCCCATATTAAGGATCTTAGTTTGATATTAAATTTCTCAAATACATATCTAGGTAGACATCAATTTCAGAAACTTCTTTGGAACTTCGTAGTATCTGTCTTAAATTCTAATTTTTTGTAGTATCGAAGTTCATTCGATTACACGTTATTTTATATTAGAATTAATTCTGTACAATTCGTGTTTTTATGTTCTGCTAATCCAACATCAATAATTCTGACAAACGCATCTGCGGTTCAATGTTGGACGAAACGTATTCATTGTCATTGTAAATATTTGCTATAAATATTATAAAAAGCTATTTATAATAGAATTTAATTATGTTATCAAAAGTCAGTGAGATTAAATTAAAATTAGCATAGAATTGAGAAAGCAATCTGTACATTTAATATATAAAAATGAATCTCTATAATATGAAATGTTAAATGTACAGATGAGTAGTTTTGCGTTATCTTTAGTAATCTATGCATCTAGTTAAATACTGAAACCGTAGATAATAGGACAAAATAAATGTAAAATGCACAACAGTAAACATATTAATTTGTAATTCTAAGTCTTCAATATCGTTTTAATATGGAGTTAACGGTTTAATTAGACAAATGGCAACTGAAAATTCGTAAAATCCGACTCGAAGGACTTGTTGGTCCTTGGAGTCGGATCAGTCGAATCTTGTTAAACCGATGGCGCCATCTGTGCGATGTAATTCATCATACGCTATTGTATAATGATTTTAAATACAAATAATTTAAGTTCTAATGTTTTAAAAAGCCCGAGGGCTGTATTTTTATTGATTGTTGTGAAATTTTTGAGGCATATCAGTGCTTTTTAAATATTAGGTGAATATAATTTTCCTATTTTTGTATACATTATAATTTATTTCGAATTTTTCGTACAGGGTGTCAAAAAATAACGATTTATGAAAATTTCCCCAAAAACATAGATTGCACGTAGAGAAATTAAAGTCATTAGATTATTCTCCAAGTGACCAAATTATCAACATATATGTATATGTTATTTCTTTACCGGGTAACTAAAAACCTTTACTATATTCTCCTAAATTTCCGTTCCTGGGCAGGTCCTTTCCTTGTATATATGTATACATAAATATATACATAAATTTTATATTGCTATGCATTTCACGTTGGCTTATCTGTGATATACTATAGAATTTGGCACGGGCTGGTAATATTTTAAATTGTAATTTTAATTATTAATGTGTTACAATTTATAATCTCGTTCAAAAATAGAAGCTCAAAGATATAATTCTGGATGACATTGTGTGTTATTGGCTATAATTTATTGTTGTTTTTTTTATATAAATTACACGCTTACTTCATAGCCTTTGTAATAAATTCATATTTCGTGTAATAATACAGTTTATATTGAATATTAAAATATCAAATAGCCAGTTTATAATACATTACGCTCCTAATCTGAATGTTTCACTGTTCTAATATATGTATAATATTACTGTCTCTGTCTATCCGAAGTGAATAAAAGAGATGGTAATATGTTTTTATATAGATATTTCTGCAGTGTGAACTCGGTAATAAGTGGTAATAAAAAAACAAATACAGTAATACATTGTAAGCTTGTATCGTACTGTATCTTATATTAGGTGACCTTCACAATAAAATGAAGACTTAAATTTTTGTCTATTTTATTGAACCAATATTATCTAAATTACTAAAACTCATTCATGAGTTTCTGTCACCAAAAATCCCCGTTTAACAAATCGTTACGCAAAATATATCGTTGTCTCTGTTTAGTCAAAGATGAACGACAAGGATGGCGATATATTTCATATAGATTTCGAAGTCAATAACCCACGGTCAGTGGAACATTCGGTTTAGTAAAAACTCTTAAATGTGGAGGAAAACCAAAAACTGAGAGCTCTAAGTAGGTGGCGCCAGCAGCGAGAATCCGCTGGCATCTTTTAGAGATTTTTTTACGTCATTTAAGAATATTAAAAATATATTCCAAATTAACTTTGCCGGAATTAAAGAAGAGCTCCGAAGACGAAATGCATCCATAGCTGAAAAAAGGGCCATTTTTTGCTATGAATATTTTTGAATTTTTGAGTGAAATTTGACAAAAGTCGTTGCTATGACAACAGTCCACAGACTACACAATACTTTTTGTATATAAAATAGAGTATTTCCTGTATATCTGTGGTTCAGTGGTACAGTCAGCAAAGAAAGCTTTTCTCCTCATTAAAACGTGTGTTTGTTTTGAAACTTGATAGTTTGGAGATTATAAGCAAAAAAAAAATTTAAAAAAATGAGGTAAGTTAGTAAATATGTAATTTTTATTAAAAACAAACAACAAATTAATAAGATCTTAATGAGACGAAGTTAAATATCTTAAACAAATATAATCTTAACTACTTGCTTATTACTTAGTAGTGAAATATTTACTTATGCATTTAAAAGATTACACTAAAGTTGAATAAACCTAAAATATACCTTAAAACCTTATATCATAGAGTTTATTCTATTTTAAACACTTTAACAATAGTTTTTAATTTTCTATGAAGAATTTACTAAAAAGCCACACTTAGAATTAATAAACCAACTTAGCTAATACATAGCTTACTTAACAAGTTAGAATATTATTCTTAACTTAGTATAGTTACCTTTCAACTTAACTAATTATAGTAACATACTTGGCACGTGTAAGACAAGAGTAGTACTTCACACGACGTGCCAACTTCCCGACAAACTTATCGGACCCGGTGCAAGGCGCCTATCTCAGTCAAATCTGACAAAAAAATATATAAAACCTACACAGACATATAAAATGTCACACATGACAAGACAACTATATCCGAAAAGGATCTTGTGACACTTTTGTCATTGACAAAGGGGCGCTAGTGAGCCATTGCATAGTTTCACTTATAGCCACCGGATTAAATAAGTTTGTCGGTCTTTAAAACCTACTTAAGATCTATAAAAGACTAATAAATGTCACAAAAGACAAGATAGAGTCTGACAATGATATTGTGACACTTGACATTAACAAAAGGGCGCTAGTGAGCCGTCGTATGGTTTCACTTATGATCACTGGATTAGAAAAAACCTACTTTCTATGTATAAAAGCATAATATTGTCACAAATGACAAGAGAATGTCCGACAAGAATCTTGTGGCACTTTTCCGACACAGGGGCGCTAGTGAGCTAGTTTCACTTATGTCCATCGTGTCGGAATTACTTGTCCTGCTATACAAAGTAAGCGGCGAGCTGCGCCATCTTGTCCTTGGGCTGCTTCTTGCTGGGCCGCGCGCCGCGCATGCGCCCGCGCCCGCGCGACATCGCACCGCCACGTGACGTCACCGCGCGGTGCTTCTCCACCTACAACACACAAAATAATTACTTAGAACCGAGAAAATATACCATTTAATGTAAATTCTTTTGCGTTTTGTCAAGCTACGAGTCAATTGCATCGAGCGAAAGTAAGCAAGTAGTAAGTACTTCAAACCGCAGTATATGTAGTAGACACTATAGATGTAGTGAGGATCACAGTATTTGTAGTGGGGGCACTGTATATGTAGTGAGGATCAGAGTATTTGTAGTGGGGGCATTGTAGATGTAGTGAGGATCAGAGTATTTGTAGTGGGGGCATTGTAGATGTAGTGAGGAACAGAGTATTTGTAGTGGGGACACTGTAGATGTAGTGAGGATCAGAGTATTTGTAGTGGGGGCACTATAGATATAGTGAGGATCAGAGTATTTGTAGTGGGGGCACTGTAGATGTAGTAAGTGTGTATGCACTCACCAGTGCTGCAAAGCTAGGCTCGCAATAGAGACAGGCAGTCATCTCGGTGAGAGCGGCGGGCAGACGCGTGCGACCAGCGCGGTACTCCACGCACAGCAGCTGCGCACCGCACGCGTCACAAGCGCGCTCACATACAGTCACGCGGCTCGCGTCCTCAAATATGTTGATTATCACGTCGCATCTAGACAAACACATTACATCTACGTTATAATCACGTAAAGAAACCACAGATGCCTTTGAGAGAATTGTTTACTCTTTTCTTGGCTTCTAATTTGTAATTCTTTGGGAATACATATGAGAGCAGAGTATTTTGACGTACCTGTTGCAGGTAAGCTTCCAGCGCGGCGCTGCTGGATCCAGTACTAGCACACCCGCCTCACATTCCACACAACCAGACACGCCTGTGGAGTTCACGCCGTACGCGCACGTGGGATGCGTACACGAATTACAACCGAAACCTTTCTTCATATCCCTAAATAGAAAACAAAAAAAGATAAACAATTAAAAATATGTATTTTAAACAAAATTAGTTGCCTAAAAACAAAACATGACAATACAACGACATGGACAGAGGGGCGCTAGTGAGCTGTCAAAACTTAGTTTAATATATGGCCACCAGTTGAGACTATATATCCATCTTTTTCCATCTCTTTGATAAAAAGAGAGACAAGAATATAAAGTAGTAGGCAAAGATAAGTTAACCTGAAGGGCGGATGGTTGTAGCAGTAGGGGCAGAGAGGGAAGCTCTTGCCGCGATGTCCGGAGGACCAGGAGAGCAGCTCGAAGTCGTCGAGCGGACACTTCAGTTCGCGGTAGATACGTACAGTGCCGTTCTGAGGCAACGCGTACGTGTCGTCACAATGAGAACAGTGTAGACGAGCCGGTTTCGCCTGAAATATTTATTTACATATTAAATTATATAACTAAATATTGAATACACGTCTTTTGTAATGTTTTGCGAAAGGAAAACGACGGTATAGTTGTGTAGCTTCTTTCAAATAGCTTAACAATCCAAGGTCTTCGCGCAGCGATTTCAACAGCCGTCAAGATATCTGAATACTACTATACTAGAAAATCAACAAACAAACCACAAATAACTCTGCGAGTAAAAAAATCAATGCAAATATTCTTTTTTTAGTAGTTATTTTAGAATAAAATATTATTATACAAAAATTACAAAACAAATAACGAATTAATTAAGTAAAAAAAAATACAGACGAATTGAGAACTAAAGATGGTTAAAAATAAACTTATCCATTCTTATCCAAAACCTATTCGGTCCAAATGTTGTGAACCCCTGGATACATACAAATGTCATACAAAATCAATATTTTCACAGGAAAATAAACATATACATACCTGTATATATCTCATATACCGTCTACACTTCCCGCAACGAGACAAAGCTTTACCGCTTGCTTTTAACGAGGAAAAATTAACTTCAAACAATTGATCCATCGCTTCAATAGATCTGACAAAGTATTGGAACTTTCTTCTGAATATTTCTGTTGTATGTGCAAGTACAGCGTGGAAGTCAGCGCGACCTACTGCTATTAGGTTCAATTGTTCTTCCACCGCTGATCTCATTGTTGGTAACACTAATTCTGGATCTATCTGGAATTTTAGGAACATTTATAAGATCTAGATTTTAATATAAACTTATTATCTTACTAATATTATAAATGTGAATGTTTAAAATGGATAAATGTTTGTTCATCTCCGCAACGGCTGTATGGATCTTGATGTAATTTGGCATACATGTAAAACATAGTCTGGAAGAACACATAGGCTACTGTTTAAGATTTTTTTTAATTCCACGCGGACGGAATCGCGGGCGACAGACAGACAGCTAGACATTAAAAATGCAAATGTTTGGATGAATGAATAGATGTTTATTACAAGGTATCTCAAGAACGGCTGAAATGATCTTGATGAAATTTGGCATACAAAGAACATAGTCTGGAAGAACACATAGGCTACTTATTATATTTTTTTAACTCTGCGCAGACGGAGTTGCAGGTTACAGCTAGTTTTTACCTTCTGATATCCATGCACTAAGACAATGCCGAGATTGGTAGGTATGAGTTTCCTGCCATTGCCTACAGCAACGTAATTCCTCTGACAAATGTTGTTTATATGGACGGGAATAGACGCGTCAGTACCTATGCCGTGCTTCTCCATTAGTGTTATCACCTAAAATTCAGTACACAATTTTGGTCAAAAGTTAGACGGAAGTAATGAGTTGTGTAGAAAAATTGACTTGTAGGGTTTTTTTAGTCATAAATTGAATTCGCCAAAACGGCGAAGCGATGCTGCTAATAGACATACACAATTTTAGATACATTACCTATCTTTGTAAATGAAGGAGGAGATGCACAGGCAAGAATATTTTCCCTTCCTATGCGTGTCCTCTTCCAACAAATCCACTTCCCATCCTCTCATTAAAATGAGGACTCCGGCACAGATTTGGAGATGATTATGATTGTAGGAGAAATTATGCTTAAGGAGATTAGAATTTGGAGAATAAATTATGATTTGGGGGAGGAATGTTTGATGTATTTCAGAGATGCATACCTCAGCCTCGGTGAGATAGTCTGGAGGTGAGGTTTGACATTCCACCAGCCTGTGATCATGAGCCTTTAGAATATCATCAACTTTCAGTACCGGCACAAACTCGTCTTTACCAAAAGCCTGAAATATACATATTAAATATACAAAATGAAATAAATTTCCTGCCTACAACAATATAACTCACGCTGGTAACCACTTTGGGAAATTTGGCATAGATGTAGAACATAGTCCGGAAGAACAAATAGGCTACTTAATTCCGCGCAACGAAGTCGTGGGCGACAACTAATTCATAAATAAAGGTCATAGCTCAGTAACACTTACTTGCCAATGCATAACTTCAGTATATCCTGCATCAACTAAAGTATTGCCGGAGTAAGAGAAGGTTTCTGAGCCGATCTGGAATGTTGCGGTTGTGCAGAGATAGCGACAGTCGCGGCAAAGTGTCGCGATAAAGTGACGAGTCACGTAGTCATAGATACGCCACATGTCACCTTCCAATTCTGATTCCGCTGTTAACAATAGTCAGTTTATATTGTAACTACTGTTAGGAAGAAAATCCGACACTGTGCCGGTGTACTGGCGCAACACTAGCCTTACTCAAATGTCGACGTTTATTTCCCCTTACTAATCATTCTGACATTTGACTTTGTAACGAAAACACGTCATTGGTCATTCATTTGGATGGATCTTGTGCAGATAACTCCGGAACAGTTGTATGGATTGAGTTGAAATTTAACACATTTATAGTATGAAAAAACACATAGAAACAACTATATTTTATTATCTAATCTATACATAAAATAAAATTGGTATGTCTGTATGTAATAGAGAAATATAAAAAAATAAATTTTTAAATTTTTTGCATATACATATGTCTGTCTGTCAGTCCGCAAACTGAGTTTGTTTCAGCTAAACTCCAGAACGGATGGACCAGTTTTGTCAGGACTTCGATGAGAAGGTAGTTGATGACCACGGGCATGTTTAAGGCTATTTTTTTTTGCTGACCAATTGCAACTGCTAGTACTTACTTGCATGCCGTAATGGTGTGATGGGAGGATGGTCGCCTGCATCATGTCCTTTCTTAGGCTTGTTAATACCGTTAGCTAACAAAGCACGCACTTCTTCACCCCACTTGCTCGACCCTTGTTGTTGACGGAGAGCACCACTGAAAATTATAAACAAAACATATAATATCGAATTCTAACTTATTTATTCTTAAATTATCTGTCGCAAATTAAAAAGAAACTTAATTAGTAGCCTATATCTTCTTCCAGACTATGTTCTACATCTAGGCCTTAAGCGAGATCCATGCAGCCGTTCTGGAGATACCTTCTAACATCCATCCATCCATCCAAACATTCGCATTTATAATATTAGTAAATTTAAATTTGCGATTTTACAGAAATCAAAAATGGCAGCAGCACACGCTAGTGTTTGCTGTTAAGACCTGAATTTTAAACTATATTACTTACATTAAATCAAAATTCTCGGGATAACTTGTTGTTTCAGTTCTCGGATATGATATATAACCTTGTGTATACAAACGTTCAGCTATCTAAAAAAAAAAAATTAAATTTAATAATTAATTTCTAAATCCTATACTTTTATAAAAAACTCATAAAAAAAAAGATTGATGATTTTTTTTTACTTGATTATAGAATAATCTAATTACATCAAATAACCAAAAATCATATAAAATATAACAATGAAAGTATTAAATTTAACATAACCTGCATAGCATGATGCGGTCCCATACCAAGTCCGGAACTGGCCACTCTCATCAGCTCTACTGTATTTAAAGCAACCGGTCGAGACTTCAATTTCTCCTTTGCTTGTACATTGATAACACTGCATTTAAAATTATAACACAAAGATTATATACATTAGAGCTTCTATAAGTTCTTTAAAAAGTAATGAGATTGAATGTGGATGGCTACAAGGGTGGAGGAAGACCAAAAATAGTAAGGAATGATTCGGATATGACGGCTGATAGAGATGTATGGAGGAGTAGTACATACTGTGCCGACCCTCGATAGGGATAAGGGCAGGTTGATGACGAGAACTTCTATAAGTTGAAAACTGTTAGCTTGAAGAAATATATCTCATTCTGTTATTATAGACATAAAAACATTCTTATAATTACAATTCTTAAAGGCCTAAGGGCCTTACTATGAAACAATTAGACAGTATTTGAAATACATTTTAGTTTAAACATATATCAACCTTTTTATACCATAATTATAACGCACTGCGCGGATTTTTGACTCATACCTATTGAAAACATTACGCACATGCTTACAAAACGAGTTCTTGACCAAATAATGATATTTATAGTGAAATATATAACCACTTTGATGTCTATAATATCCTTCCTCGGCATTCAAAGGGTTAAAACATGTATTCAACTAAACAGTGACTATTTTTTTTTTTGGGGTTATACACCAAATGTTTAGCAAATACCTAGAACCCATTTCCATGTTTGTTTCTTAACAACCCAAAAAGAATCAAACCTTTTTATGACAACATAGGCATTTATCACTTTAGAAACCTTTATAGGTATAAAAAAAAGATTGGCATAGAAATGCATACTCACACAGCCTCTTTTATCTCTTTAATACCATGAAGAAACATATTAGCAATTTCCTTCTCGAAACTTCTAACCCGTTTCCATTCCAACGGCAATTCCCGACCTTCCTCAGTACTAGCAGTGACACGTAAAACCCAATATGTCTCCGGTTTAAATGTTTGTATTTCATCATGTCTTTGTACACAGAAACCTAACGTTGGAGTTTGGCAAGGTCCATATGAAATTAATGATGCATCTAAATCACCATATCTACCTATAAGATATAAACAAAGTGGTAAAAATGTCATCACATCAAAAAATGAGAGAATAAAGTTTGATTAACTCCGAAGCTACTTTGTTAGTTGCATAGGCTGAATAAACCTTTTTATTTGATTAATTAGAACTGCATGGTTACCTCTAGGATCCCTTTACGTCCCACAACACCAAACATTGTTTTCTGTGCAGTAACTTGTATATTTCAAGTTGTGATTCATGCAATGTTCTTAGCCTCTAATATATTTGAATAAATTGCAAAATGTTGCATAGCTATTTGTATAATACTGTACCTTGAAAATACTTTGTCTGGTAACGTGTGAAAGCACATCCAATACGCAAATCCAACTCTTGTCTTGCATCTACAGAGCGAGATTCATTCTCATTGGGCCGTACAAGATTCAACATGGCCGCTTTTATATCTTTGTCTGTGATGGCAGAGAAGCGAGCACGGTATGTCACTTGAGGTGAGCATACATCACCATTCATGAAGGGTTGGACACAGCTCATCACCTGAAATTTGTATATTATTTTTCAGTAATGTCTTGCTGGTATGTAGGTATTCTAGATAACCTTTTGTGTACATAAACATCTATAATGGACTTTTTGCCTGCAAGGATTCATTGGTCTACTACTAATAATCTATATCTTACCTCAAAACATATATTCTCCCCTTCTTTATCACAATCCAGCCATAAAACAAGATAATCACAGCCTCTGGCCTCCATTCCCAAAAACGCAGGCATTTTTAGACGAGGCATAGCTTCCTTTTTCTCAGTAGGGCAAGAGAATAACTCCACGGGATCTACTTTATCCCAATTATTGTATTTTCCAGTAAAATCCAGACTCATCACATGCCCACAAACTGATGTCATTCTAAACCGTACCGGTTCATTTTTAAAAGTACCATTCCATTCGTGAACAGAACAAGCCCCATTAGAACCTTCAATAAATAAATGCGATATATTACATACCGTAAATACACAAAATAAATTTTAATTACACGTAAATGACAAGTTTCCTATACGAATTCTAACCTTTCGTCGTATTACACTTTCCGTTACTGAGTATGTTAGCTAAATTTTGTGCCAGCGACGGCTTTTCTGCAACCATTAAAACAACCTTCATCTTTGAAAGTTTACTTGTTCGTTATTATAATCATTTATTAATTTATATCTGGATTTCGAAAAACATTCCCAATTTCCTATTCTTGACGTTGACATAAATTTGACGTCTGTCAGGGAAAGACAGATTTTGAGTTATAGATAACGCAAAAAAATTGCTTTTCACGATTCACATTAAGTCATTCGTTAATAAATGTTTTACAAAAAATGTTATTAGCATTTAATATCATAATTTTAGTCGATCCGCAATAATTTTATACATTTGACTGGTATCGATACATTTAGTACAATATTTTAGTCGTCATTAGGTATTCCTACCGTATTCTTTAATCTGTGTTAACTGGGGTCCTCGGGTGGTGCTCTGCTGCATTTAAAATAGCTTACAAATTAAAAATATTGTAAAAGGACTCCCATATGATGTCTCTTTTGTAGACTTGAATTTCTCAACTATCTGAGAGTTATTACGTTTCATAACATTGGTGATAAATAGTGCTAATAATTCATGTCTAAAAACATGGTATGTGATCAGTGACAATGTTCTAATTGTTTATTTATGTAACTTCATGCGGTATTTCGTGATGTGTGAAAGTGTTTGATAAATTTTACAGAGCCAGTCTCGAGCTGAGAATATTTGCCAGACGGGTCATCTGCGGGTGATATTGCCGTCGAATTTAGACGCCACTATGAACATGCCCGCACCGTTTATTGATATTATAAGTAAGAAATATTATTGTTCTTATCTTACTTGTGAGGCAATCATTCATTGTACAGTTTCAAGTGAAGATAATATTGATTATTCTATTCATAGCTATGCGTTACCGACGAAAATCGTTGATTTGTCATGGCTTGGTTGATAACATTTCTTATCAAAAACGGAGTAAAAAACCATTTGCCTTAAACTGTCAACTATTGATTTATTTCCAGGGTCACTGTATGTCAATTCAGGAAGGAAAATAAACATAAGATGTTCTATACTTATTGCAATATGTTTGACCTTTAAACTTCGACTTATTGATTTCTTTGATAAATGCACATGTTTCAATTTCTCTCGTTTTACGACTATATTATAAGTAGTTATATATTTTATTTCTAACATGTAGCAAACATCGTTTTTCTATGTTTATGCTCAGGCAATAGATTCTTAATACTTGTAAAGAGAAATACAGACTTGCTGTATATAAAAATGTGGTATTCATAAAAGAATGATAATATTTATATATTATTACTGGAACACAAGCTATTCACACATTGTTTGTGGAAATATATACAACTAATTCCTTTTGTAAGATAAATTAATCTATTGATAGCTATTATAATGAGTTTTTGTGACATAGAGGGTATTCCCAAATGGTATTATAATTTACTAGCTATCACCCGCGACTCCGTCCGCGCGGAATTAAAAAAAGACGTAATAAGTAGCCAAAGTGTTATTCCAGGCTATGTCATATATGTGTGCCAAATTTCATCAAAATCTGTTGAGCCATTCCGGAGATACCTTCAAACAAACAAACATCCATCCATCCAAACATTTGTTTTATAATATTAGTAAGATAATATATACAGTTGAACCTGGATAAGCAAGAAGCTTCTATTTGTGAGAAAAATATTCCCTTGGACACTCGGTTGTTCATATTACACTGTAATTACATAAATTGCCCTAAAGTCTTTGGCCTATATAAATGGAAAGGCTAATAGATATAGTATTTTGTTTCTATTAGATTTTTGAGAGTGTCGGTGGCTCAGGGGTCAAGCACTTGATTTGCAATCTGCAGGTCCTGTGTTCGAATCCCGCCATGTACCAATGTGTTTTTCGATTTCCGATTTACATATGTACATTTATCCGACGTTCTTATGGTGAAAGAAAACATTGTGATGCAACCTGCACATACCTGAGAAGAAATTCAAAGATATGTGTGAAGTCAACCAACACGCACTTGGCCAGTGTGGTTGACTATGGCCTAATCACCCTAAACTTAGGGTAGGCCCTGAGCCCCTCGGTGGGGACGTATAGTGAGCTGATGATGATGATTTGATTTTCGCCATTTTGATGCGAATTGTTACGGTTTGTAGCAGTGGTGTGGATTCAAACTAATAATGTACATAGTATTAACTCTCACATAACTTCAACAGATGCTCTTATATCACAACTAAGCTAAAGCTGTCATTTCCAAGCAATTGTTTATCCATTTATAGAGACCTGTGCCTAAAGTCAATATATCTGCGCTGGGTCAGTATGGTTGACTTTTTAGTCACCTTTATTATGGAGGAGGCTTGTTACTGTGGAGACAAGTATAAGATGTAGATGACAAATTTGCTTTTATGTGCCCTGTTAACTGTTATAATTAAATTTAACGCTTGTTCATAAATATAATGTTTCCAGCCTCCAACTCTCATGACATCCCACCCCCACAAGTGGATTTCTCTGCCCCACCACCATATGATGTGGCTGCTAACTCCAAGCTGCCCACTTACGAGGAGGTGCAGCGTGAGAAACAGATGGAAGGGGATGGACCGATTCAGGTGATTATGGTCACATTTGTAGTGCAAAATATCAGGTTATTTTATATGTCATGATAAAACAAAAAGTGTTTTGATAGTCTTTTTGTCAGTTATAGGTGAACAAATTTTGGTACTGCTTTTAAGACTGATTAAAATTAAGTTTGGATTGATCTCTAGGTTTTAATATTGACTCCTGTGGTACATGTATATTTCAGATGACAGCGCCTCCTCCCCGTCACTCGACGATCACGGCCTTCGTAACTGTGGAGCCCCCTGAGTCCTCAACTGATCATCTTGACCCAGAGAATAGCCTTCTCGGAACTGATGTCATGTTCTTGACATCCTTCTTTGGTATGGTTTTTATTATCTTTGAGACAAATTAGGACTTTGTTATATATGAAACACGATTGTACTTATGATTTAGTGTACAGGGAATGTTTCATAGTTGTTAATTAGAAAGTTTTTTTAATCTTTTAAGTTTTACAACACCCTGTATACATTCCAGAAGCGAACATATACATAATTTATAATAGGGTGTGTCCATAAGTCTTCTATAATATTGTAATGTGTGTTTAGTTGCATTCCTGTTCAACTGGATTGGGTTCCTGCTACTGATGTGTTTCTGCCACACTGTGGCTAGCCGCTACGGGGCACTTGCAGGCTTCGGCCTCTCCCTCGCCAAGTGGACCCTCATCGTGAAGCACTCCACTGAGCTGGCTTCTCATGAGAACTCATGGCTGTGGTGGCTTATCATGGCCTTTGGTGAGTTACTTAGGCATTTCTTTTTTTTCAGCCTGCTACCTGTTACCTGCTAACATAATATTGTAAAAACAAGCAAGCAAAGTTTAGTAAATAACCTGAAAACTATATCGATTTTTGTACTAATGTTGGATATTTTTATTTTATCAGTGAATGACTTTTGTTACTATTTAAATCTCACTTATATTATAAATGGAAATATTTGGATGTTTGTTTGAAGATATGTCTGGGACGACTTAATGGATCTTGATGAAATTTGGTATAAATGTAGAAGAAAATAGAGAATATAGTCTAGAAAAATACTTAGACTACTAATTAAGTTATTTTTTGAGTCGCACAGTTTAATTAATAATAAAGGAATAAATACAACATTTTTTTAATGGAAAAATGCATGTAATTTCCGAATAAATATGGCTTAAAATATTTAAGAAAAAAGAGAGTCTATGTATAGTCTATAATTATCTTCCAGGTATCTTGATCTGCGTGCGCGCAGTCATCCAGTACCTGAACATCAAGCGCGGCTGGCGTCTCCTCTCCGGTACTGCGCAAGAGAGACTTCTCTTCTTCTACTAAACTTCTCTATCTCACACCTCCTTGTATACTGCGACATGCGCGAGTGAGATTCCTCTCTCTCTAAACTCTTGTCACTTTGCCTTAAGGTTCTTGAAACTTGAGATATTTTCAAAGTGAGTAGAGTTTTTTCTTGTATGGAATGTTTATGGTGTCTATTATTTGCTTATAGCATATCGAAGTAACATTATTTTGTATTACTATAACCTTTCGTATATTGTATAAAATCTAATTTATTTGATATACAGGTTGTTCTAGTTTTCCAAATAAAATTTTTTTTTACCGTTTTCTGAAATTCTATTGTTTTTTCTTTTTTAAAATACGAAACAAAAATGTTTATTATTACTATTAAACAAACTGCTTACAGTAAGTGAATTATAAATTAATAAACTTTTACAGTTAAAGAGCATTTTATGAACAGCCTGTATTGTAATTCCAAATTATAGTTTTAATATATCACATTATTTATTATTTGTGATAATTTTATATGAAAAAAAAATATAGTGAATCCAATGAGGGTTTTATTATGAATTATTTTAATCAAAGACATTTATTTTAGATTTTATTGTAGGTATTTAGGGTTGTTTGTGTTTAAATGCAGGTGAATGTTTGGGTTATGTATATTTTATATACATAAAATTTAATCATTAAAGTTTTTTTTTGTGTATGAATTATTTAAAATATTGTTGGAATTTAATTATATCAGGATTTTTATTTTTTTCCTATAAATAGTCTATGTAATTAGTCATAGTTGTAACAACCTGTATCTTGACCTTGTAAACTATGGAAAGAGACAATTCGTAGAACGCTCTCTCTGTCTCACACACTAAGTATCGTAGCGTGTGACAGAGATAACGCTATATGACGCCTAAAGCAAATTCCACGTGTCTTTTTTTTTCAAAAAAACCCTTGTCTTGTGACTTTTCAACTATAAGAATATTTCGCAAGCCTTTGTGATTTATATTATTTTTGCTTAAATTGGAAAAAAAATATTGGGAAAATATAGTTTGATTGCGTCATGAAGGTGTACGCTTTTTCCAAGACTTTTATACTTTTCTTATAATTAAAAAAAAAAGTAGTTTCTTAACTGTCATTTGTTGTCAATCTTGTTTATTGTCAAATGTCATAGAATATAGATTTGAATGTGTCATATGTCATTTTTAGAACATAGACAAACAGTGTCTATGCTTAATTTATCTATGGTTAGTACTAGCGGACTTGCAGAATTAGTGGGTAATTAAAAAAAATCTTTCGTAAATTGTTGAAGTTATTATGTAGATAGTTGTGTAAAGTGATGTAACATTTTTTTTTGTTTTCTATTTTATTAAATCCTTTAAAATCTATTACATATTTATTTTTAATGTTGAAAATCAATCTGAAATAACTGGATAGATTTAATTCTGTCTATATTTTAATCTTTGACATTTCTCAATGAATAATTAATCAATTTCAGGAAATAATAAAGCAGTTGGTATTTTTTTTCGAATAAATTGTTTTTTTAAACTTCGTTACATCACTAGCGGTAAATATAAGTGTGTTATAAAAGTATCCATGTTAAAAGCATTATAATGCTATCGCTTTTAATAACTTTCGCACCAAAAAAAAAACATATATAAGTTTTTAATTTTTAGATATTTTCCAAAAAAAAAATTGTATACTTAAGTGCAATATTATCTAGTTGTCAAATGCCCTATACTATTTGTTTAGTTTAGTTTAAGGGTTCATTTAAATTTAAATAGAAATGAGAAATTGGTATTGCTTTTATTCATCTGGTATTGCTGATGTCAATGGGCGTCGTTGAACACCTCGGTGTTCCCGCTGCTTGTTTGCCACCTTCTCTTATAAAAAAACATTGTATTTTGAAATGTCACTGGCTGACAATGTTTATTGTCTATGGATTTATTTTTGTCTTTAAATACAGCATTATTAAAAGTAAACTTGTGTCGATAGGTTTGTTATAATTTCTCATTTCCATTGAATTTGACTGACGTAGGCTTATTTTTTTTTTTGCATTAGATCGCGAATAATATGTGTAATATAAATTGTAAAATTTATCACTTAAATACATTCTTATCTTACTCTTTATTTTGTATTTTATTTGTGTACCCGAAATTAAAAAAATATTTAGTTTTGCCACAGTGAGACGCATGAAAAATGTTGGAAAAACAACGGCTGGTATTTTGGACATTACGGATTTTATCATTACAGGTAAGTATAGTTCCTTTCAAATATCTTGGTGGCTCAAGGTCATCGCGCTGCGTAGTGACCTCCCCCCCTATCCCACTAAGCTTCAAATTGTGTTCTGCACAGCAACGTACAATAAGTTCCGTCTCCAAAATATCTGACAACTATTTTAGCACCCAAAATTAGTTTTTTTTTATTTTGTTAATTGTAGACCTATTTTATTTTAGTTCTTGAACAAAGTAAATATAAATTTGAATAAGTGATGGGCTTTTGTTAGAGGGTATCTCTAGAATGGCTGAACGGAGTCGCGGGTGACAACTAGTATTGTTATAAAGTAAATTGAAACAAAAAAAAATACGTGACGTGAGATGGCACGTGAGTTATAGTTAAATTATTCTGAATAGAAATATCGTATCACATTTATTACGAAATAAAAAGTATAACAATGGTAAGCTATTGTTTTTAAATACTAAATAGATAATAAAAAAATATAAACATTTGATTTTTTTTTAAATTACTAATATTGATAGACGACAATCCTGGAAAACGCTTCCTCCTCTTTCTAGACTCGTGTGATCAATGTGCGACCCCTTACAAGTATTTTCCAAAATCTAAAAAATAAATCTTCACTATCAGCCCAAATTCGTCCACTGCTGAACGGAGGAGCCATTGAGTGCCACAATGCCCTGTCGTGCATTCATGCAACCTTGACCAGGTCACCGGTCCATCTTATGGGAGGCCATTGGCTGTAATGCGGGTATTTTAAAAACATTTCATCCTGTATTGACAGATTAATGGCCCCTCCTTTTTTTAGCATACAACTTTTAGGAGAAAGAAATCAATTACATGAGAAATAATCGATTCGGTGTATTCAGGTTAGGGTAAATTATTTCTTCAAAAAAAATAAGAATAAGGCAGCGAAAACAAGATAATTGACTGAAAGGTTGGAGGTAAAGATCTGGATAATTTGTTGACGGAAAATCTTAAAAGACGTTAATATTATGTCGTATTTTTAACATTTTATTATTTTTAACACTTTTATAATTTTTAATAAAAATAAATGGCATACTAGTGTTTTTAATAGAGTTGTACCATTTCAAATTAAGTAGTATTCGATTTTAATTAATATAAGCTGAAAAAAAGTGCATCTTACTATCACATATCGTAAGTTTTCTGCACTAAAAAGTATATTTATAATATATACATTGCGTAAGTTACACCCACGATGTGGCATATTCATAGTTATTTTTAGTAATTTAACAATAACATCTTTAGAATATTAAATTCTTGAGCCTTAAACCCTTAATATAGCATTTCACCGCATTACTGCACTTGATAAACCCCTCTCATGCCAAAACCACCCAGTTCGTTGCCAACCATCGTGCAGGGTGGACGTCCCGGTAGACATCTTTCCGCGCCATCTTTGTTAGTTTTCCCGCGCTTCTCAAACGGATAATTCGTAGTGCCCTTATGAAGGAATTACTAACATTACATCTTCACTGTGATTTATTTAGTAACTCTACGTGTTCCCGTGATAATAATTTCTTCAATATAATAGGTAAATATAATTTTTATAGCTATAATTTTAAATTTAGAATATATGAAAAACGTTTAAAAATTCATTTATTTCATGCGCTTGATTACTTTCATTAGAAACTTAAGTATAGGGTTGAACAAAAACAATTAAGATTTATTTTTCGTAGAATAAGTGCGAGGCAAAGAAATGTCTTGACCACCAAAAATTTATTAATTAACAGTTAAATTTTATAATTGTAGAAAAAGAGTTAATAGATTTGAGCAAACGATATCTTTGAATATTTAATTTTAAGACCAAAAAAGTGTATTTGAATTTTTAACCGCAATCTTTAATATTGCAAAGCAGATATTTTAAAAACTTACGGAAAAACCTTTAATCTTTTCTTCACATATTTTCAGTTATAAAAAAAAGAAACATTTAATTTTCAATCTAAATACGATAGAAATAAGTCTACTTTTATATTGAATGAAAGTAAACTTGGCAAATATCCAGTAATCATGTTTTTGCCCTCCACTTACGTTATACATGTGTGCGTTTAGTTTATGTATCAAGTTATATATACAATGATATATTTGTGATGCCTATCTTGTGTAACTAAGATTAATTGATAGTTTTTGTCTGATCGTTAATAATATTACTGTAGTTATATTTATCTTAGCCTATCTTACGAATGTTATAAATGCGAAAGTTTAGATGGATGGATGTTTGATGGTATCTCCAGAATGGCTAAAAGAATCGCGATTAAAATTGGCATACATATAGAACATAGTGTGGAAGGAAACATAGGCTACTAATTATATATTTTTTAATTACGCGTGAACGGGCGACTGTCAGTAGTCGTATACATCTTAAACTCTTATTGAACTTTGAATTATAACTATCGCCAGTTATTTCGTCAGTGCAGTATCAAAAAGTAGCGTATTATATGTTCGCATTCATCATCTAACTTCCTGTGAAAGTCCCGTCAAAATCTGCCCAGCCGTTACGGAGATTATAAGGAACAAATGCGGCCTTGCGGACAGACAGACAGACAAATGTTTTAAAAAATTGGGTTTTTACTATCAGCAATGCAAATACATCGCGTGTACGAAATATGATTTTTTTTCTCGATGTTACATACAGACATTCCAATTTTATTAATATGTATACCCGAGATGTAGAGTAAGAAAAAGGAAGGGTATTTACAAATTATCCGGTATGCTAATAAAAATTGTGTTTGTTGCCAGTTGTATATAGATAAGAGACATTGAATAAAACTCGTTAACAAAGAGGCAAGAACTTTTGTACTCATCATCGTTTAATGATAACTTAAAAAGATAAAGTCTACTTAAGAATTAACTTTACAAATATCTTTAAATTTTCTTACTTCAACTTTAAATTACCTCTTGATTACAAGTATATCACAAACTTTGACACCGTAAAGTATTTAATTATTAAAATATCTACGATCCGTATATTTAGCCATTGTAAACGAAGTTATTCTCCCTTGGAAAATTCAAACATTGCATTTACATAGTGATAACATGTTTAAAACA